ATCTGATGATATGAATTTGCTTAATAAGACTTATTTAAATTATACTATAACTATTTATTTGTATTATATAAACATACTACGCTTTTATAGATAAAGTTTTTTAAGATCTGTTATAACTTTACAGTTTATTATTTATATGTATTTTACAGCATATTATTTTTCTAATACAACTTTATTAACTGTTTACAAATATAGTTTATACGTTGTAGCATATAACTTACTACTATATAACTATTACTCAATTCCTCTGAAGGGAGCTCAATCGGTAAGAGCATTCGACTTTTAATCGAACGGTTGTGGGTTCGAATCCCACTGTCCCTAATGTATTTCATCTATTTTATAGTTAGGGTTCAGGCCGTCCCCTCGGTCGCAGTATTATTCTTTTATATATACTCCGACTTTTCCCTACTTACCTTTTACGCTAGACCGCTCCTTTGAACCAACTGATATCATCGTTCAATTCCTTCTGTCGGCCTTTTTTTGTTCGTTCTTTTCCTATCCACTCTCTTACCCCACTCTTTTTTAAACTTCCTTTTAGTTTTTGAATATGATTAGATTTATCCCTAAGTTTGTAGAGAGGGCTATTAGATTTTTATTACTATAGAGACCTGCTCTTCTAATGGTTAGGTAAGCGCTTTTTCGAGGCGTCAGTGAGGGTTCGACCCCCTTCCAGCTTAATTACTTTTAATTCTGTATTTGTAATAAGAAGAATATTAATAAACCCATATATATATGGGAAAGAATGGGACAATCAACCCTATATTTTCACATTTATAAATAAAAAAAGAAGAAAGGGATCATATAAGAAAAATAGAAAAAGATAGAGGAATCTTATATAAGAGACTTATTATCATAAACTTTGTCTTATATACTGTTTACAACTTTTTGACTACACTAAGATAGTTCTATTATTACTAATGAGTATTCATTTAAAGAAAGATTATCTTTTACTAATAGGTTTATCATTATTATTATAGATTTTTGTTTCCCCCGTATATTATTGTATTAAACAGTTTGGTTTTCACTTTTTTATTTACAATTCTGATTTTTCTTCTAAACCTAAAGGTGTTTTTAGTAGAATACTTTATCATTACCCAATATAGTTGCTACTTTATTCCCTTTTTTCTTCCTAGTTTTCATCCCTTTTGTGTTCCTTATTCATCAACTTTTTTATCTTTTATAGCCCTTTAAATCTAAATAGTCTAGTTACGGGTTTATTATTTTTATCAGATTCTTATTCAAGCTCAGAAGAAGATGATTTTTTGTGAATATAGAAAGGATCAGAATAATAAGAAAATGAACTTAAATGGTAGTTTGGAACTTTAATAGAGGAGTATCAGAAAGTGAAAATGACTCCCTAAAGTAATTCATAAAACACCCTGTTCAGGATGATAAGTACAAATAATAAAATAAGCTGCATAAACAACATTAGGTTTATTATGTGAAGCTTTATCCAAACTATTATCCTCTAAAGGATGACCATCACCTAAAGTGATTCTAAAAATTTAGCCTTTCCTAATTCCCTCCCTAAAAAGACCTATATTTATTACCCCTATTTTATTGTCATTTTTTTATTATCATTGGATTTTATCTTCCTTATTCTCTTTTATTCATATTCTTTCCAAATACCCTATTATTCCATTGTGTTCAATCTTCTTCCAATCTTTTCTTTTAGTTAAGTTTTCTGTCTAAAATTGTAGAAAGTGAATACTTTTATGTATTCTTTCAAGTAACCATTTTACAGGGGAGCTACGTTCGTTGATTAACCGTTTGTGATAAAATTGATAGGATTACTCTGTAGCCAAGATAGAAATTGTAACATAGTAAATATGAATTAGGGGTGACAAGACTCATAGCGGAGTGCAGTACTATAAGGGGCCACAGCTTAGGATAAAGATAGTAGGACTAGGGAATAAGGAAAAGGAATAGGGGATAAGAGAACGGGGAAATGAAAATATCAGTGATATAGGATAACTTTGGCACATACAATAAATACTAATATAAATCTATTTAATCGCCATAGGAATAGTCTCTATAAATGAAAATCGGGAATAGAAAACCATGTAAGAAAATAGGGGATGGAAAAATAGATTGAAAAGAAGGAGGGTAGGGAAAAAGGTAATAGGAACAACAAGGAGAAAGAGAATGAGAATCAGAAGGGTGAAAAGAAAAAGAAAACAAATCCCTAAACTATATGAATAGGCCCATTAACCCTCTAGGTCTTAGATAATGCACACTAAATAACCCTTAGAGGGGTTATATTATAATTAAAGGGGGAACTAGTCTCAATTTAGAAGTATTGTACCCCTTTGAAGAAGCAAGATAAATGACAATCTACCATCCAAGAGTGAATAACTATTTTTGTATATTATTTTTATTACTGCTATTACGAGTCCCTATCCTTTCTTCCTAAACACTAACCAGGGATATAGGAGCAAATACTCATAGGTCTATCAAACTGAAATTTATACCCACCATTCACTTATCTAGTTACTGTGCATAGAAGCTTTTATCAAGAGTACCTGCTGATTATGGTTAGACTCCGTGGGAGTGTCACAGAAGACTTGTATAATTGAAGTGTAACAGAAGAGTTTATGTGTAAGATACCCACCTAAGAGTCGAGAATGTGATGGTTGATATCAAATTAGGATTATCCTATTGCTGTTCGGTTTTTCTTTTGCTTTCTTATCCTTCCCTATCCCTTCCTTCTTGTTGATCCCTTTCATTCTTTTTGTTCTCTAGCCTTTTTTCCCTTCCCCACCCCCCTTTCTTTTTATCCTCTATCAGATCCTTTTATAGATTATCCTTTTCAAATCCTTTCCCTTCCAGTGTCTCCTATGAATTACCTACCCATTATTCCGAGTTACCCTTCTTGCTAATTGTACCGGCCCCTGGATTCTATCTTCCGATTGTCTGATGATCCCCTTATTATAACCTATTTATTCTTTATACGCTGTAGTATTGGTGAATCAAGAGGCTTGTGGGATTCCTGATCCCTTTATTAACTTGTAGATAGTCCAATGGTTCCCTTTTATCTGTGTGATGAAAGTAGTTTTATCTGCATATTATCCGGATAATCAAAGCATTGGTAAATACTCTTCTTGGGTCATAGATATAGATGATTTTTGGGATCACTAACTGGATTGTGTTGTATTAGTAGAGGAGGTTGAGAGACCCAAAGACTAAGACATAAGGGAGGATTATATGAAAACAATGAATCAATCGAGGATTAGAGACTAGGGTTAAATTCCACATAATATTTAACTGTAAAACAATTATTAGGAGGATAATCTACCCTAATACCCATTGCTATATAAGACTAATAATATCAAAAACCCTTCCCACCTTTATCAAAACCTTATATTGATCCCTATTTTATGATCGTTCTACGCTTAGTATAAGACACCATTTTCAATTTACTATAACAAATTTTATAAAAGATAAAACAAGACGGGTGGAACAAAAGAGTTTAGAGAAATGAAGGGGACTAGAAGGGTTTGGAAAAAATGACATAGGGAAAGAGGATGGGGTTTCTAATTCCCCTATGATAATCATTCCCCTTCCCCAGTTATACCCCCTCCTTCCGATTCCTATTCCCTGATCTTCTTTCCCTCTTTCCCTTATGGTATTCTTCCCTCATACTCCTCATTGTTCCTCATTCTAGCACTGCCCCCCTTTTTTTCCCTCCCCTTTACGGATATTTACTCTATCGTGGATCTTTTTACCCTCTTCGCCTTATACTTCTATTCTTTCACCCTCTACGTCGCATTGGCTGGATTATTCTTTTTTGGGGATTCTCTTTTCCCCCTATCCATTCCCTTCAATCAAATTTTCTTCCACGATTTATCTTTCTTAATCTTATCCTTTATAAAAAGTTTTTATATATATTTTATCCTATAAAAGGTTTTAGTATTGTTTGTGATTCGCCCTTATCCCCCTTCTATTAGCCTAGAGGACACGGGTTCGTAGGGGATGATAACCACTTTTTGATATTGGGTTAGTCATAGGGGGGTGAAGTGGGATAAGCAAATAGGGGTACATTGGATAAATGGTGCAGGATAAGGAATAGAAGTCTAGATAAAGTCTTTTGAACGAAACTGATAGGTCTATACAAATGGGCATTATATGTGGTAGATTGTCCTTGATAAGTTATTTGTTTTAAGGCCAGTTACCCTCACTAATGTGTCGATTTTCCTCTTCTATCCCCCTCTATTCCAGTTAAATGTTAGGTTATTTATAGGTGATAAAAGAGACCAAGAAGAGGAAGATAGAAAATGCCCAATCACTATTAGATCAATTATACCCAATCCATTCTCCTGTGAGCCCCCTTGAGGGTTAAACTGAAATACAAGATGAACTACTCTTTATTTCTCAACCCTATGTTTATCCTCATCCAACCTCCTGGTACTCCGCTAATATAGGCAATAGAGGGGATTAAACCCTTGTCACATTAGTTAACTTTTATCCTGGTTTCTCTTGTAAAGGTAAACCGGTTATACAGGAAGAATTATTTGGGATGGTACAAGATTAGTGATAGAGTGAAAAGAGTCACAGTTGGGTGGTAGCCAGTAAAACAGGAAAATAATACAGGAATGGGAACATCATAATAGTAGAACTAGAATAACAGTTTGAACAAGGATAGGCTAATATCCCCTATAAAAAAATAAACAAGAATAATAGATAGGTGAAAGTAACCATTGTATAGGAAAGGGATAATGGGGGATAAAAAGGAGGTCAATCTGGTAAATAGGAGTATAACAGTAGGGGGAATAGAAGAATATCAGGAAGGATTCAAGTAATAATAAAGATAAACCCAAATGGTAGGGGCATATCTAGAGAAAGGTTAAACCCATAAACCAACACAATCAATAATAAGCTAGGGGAAAGAATAGATAGATGACAAGGGATAAACATAACTAGAAAATAGGTTTGAAAGAGCTTAACAATGAAAGGGGGGAGAAACCAAAACCCAGATAGGGGACTGGAGGACGATCACTAACTTTAGAAGCGTAGAACTTGTCTTTGCAAGGATCAATGATAAAACTAGCCATAATAATAACCAATAAATCCCTATCAATTCAGAAACTAAACCTTAGTTCGTAATTGAACTAGAGGGAATAAATGATTATGCTGAAAGAGGATAGGCGGATCTTGTAATAAGGATGTGAATAGGAGCTTGTAAACCCTATCTCTGATTATTATACCTACTTTATTCTGCCTTATAGGGTAACTACTAATTTTTAAGTTAAGGTTTGTCTCACTCATAAGCACCTCTCTTATCCTGATCCCTTATTTGACTGTTGGTTGTATGTAGATTTCCC